AAAAATTGGTTGTCTTGGCATGGTTAGACAGCCTATTCAGCGCCGCTCCAGAAATGGTGACAGGAGTATAAAACCGCATTTTGTCTAGGCAAAAAATTAGACATCAAAATTTGATAACGAATTTACAGTTCTATCGTTTCTGAGTAACATCTATATAGAAGTAGTTTTTTCGGAAAATCTACTGCACTAAAGTAAGAAAAAAATAGGTTTTTATATACTATCGACAACGCTCTACAACATAGTCATCTTGATTTTGCTTGATTCTGTGATCATACTTCGCCGAAAAAATCTACCGTTACGTGGACTGGCCGTACACAAAAAATCTAACGTCTATCATACTGTTGAGCCGCATATGACAAGAACCTATAAAACATTCAATCATCTAAGGAAACAAATGAAGATAATTTTGCAACATTTGTACATCAGATATACAAGTGTATCCAATAATTTTGGTAACACTATTGTCTTATATAAGCTTTTGAACGCTGGATGATGGACTGACAAAAATGTATTGTACATTGTAACTTCCGATTGAGCTAATGCAGTGGTTCGAACTTGACATTCTGAACCAAAACGCCATGACAATGGAGGTTCATCGAGTAACACTTTAGACATCTGTTTTCGATTCACTTAAACAGTTTTTGCATACGTGTTCACCCCCAATATAAAAAGAAGAAAATGGTTGTAGTTTAAATCCATTAACAACTACATTAGAATCTAAGTCTTTAGCAACAATCCTAAAATATTGGAATACGTACGAATTAATAATAACTAATTTACTTATAATAGGTCTTCCTATCGTCACAACACTATACAGTAATCAAATAATAAACAAAGAGCTTACATAACACCACCAGAACCATTTTGATTTTTTAAACTCGACTTGTTTGATACTAATAGATATGTTTTACAGCCGCCTATTCGTTACAGAAATGCCCAAGCCTTGGAAACTTGGACTGGTTCCTACTACACGCGCAGTACTCGAGACCGCCTTTCTGTAACTTTTCACTCAACTCATGTTGAGATTATATGCGTAGAACATCACCGAAATAAAACGGTGATAACATTCTATTGTAAAACATATCTATTAGTATCAAACAAGTCGAGTTTAAAAAATCAAAATGATTTTTCTTCCTTTAACCGCAATAAACTCGCGTGATTCATAGAGAATTGTGACAATATGTTTGTCTTTCTCTAGATACGTTAGGATGTTGCCACGGTTTTATTTCGGTGATGTTCTACGTATATAATCTCAACATGAGTTGAGTGAAAAGTTACAGAAAGGCAGTCTCGAGTACTGCGCGTGTAGTAGGAACCGGTCCAAGTTTCCAAGGCTTGGGCTTTTCTGTAACGAATAGGCGGCTGTAAAACATATCTATTACCACCAGAACCTCCTTGAAATGTACATTCATTCGATGCTAAACAATACTGTTCGTTTTTATTGTACGAAAACTTTTCTTGCTCAGTCCATTGTTTTGTTTCGCCGTTAAAGTAATAAGGATTTAATATTTTACCAAACGAAGCAATTCGTTTGCCAAAACCCCAGAAGATCTTTTTTAGCGTATCAAATGATGGCAAATAATGACGATATGGCAAATCTAAATAATGAGTGTTTGTAAATTTTTCATGACCTATACTAGAGATGCGTGAAGTTATAAAAATGAGTTCTAGTGCAGAAAATTGCGCAACTGTCATAATCTTGAATAGAGGTCACAACAGTTGTCGATCACAGATCGACATTGCTTTACCTGAATAACTCAGCAAAATAATATCGTCGCCTGGTTGCAAAGTACGCTCCGACGGTATAAATAGAATATTAGAATTGCTATCTGATCTTAATATCTCTTTAATCTGTATCAGCGCAACATCGAAATAATTGAAATCACTGATAATACCGGCAATAGGATCACATTTTTTACTGTCTGCAACGTCTTCATACATTTTCACAATCGATTTCCACAAATTCTTTTCTTCAGTATCTGTTAAACGATCATATAAATCAATTTTATTGCCAACAGCTGATGGACGGGTTGCACCACCACTAAAGATCACATCTGTCTCCATATTTATAGACCTATGGTCCTGGAAATACTTCAGTATTGTCATATGATTTAATGCGTTTGATATTAATATTGGTTCAGACATCATCTCTAAACAGTGGTGATTTGTTAATACGATGGATGAAGTTAAATGGAAACCAGATCCGGATATATAGCCTCGAGGAGAGAATAATCTTAACGTTGAATTACTTAATCGTAAAATATGCTCTCCATATCCGCATAAAATGTCATAATATGATGATGTAACTTTCAACGGTAGATCAAAATCGACAAATGTCGGCTGAATATGAAATGTATCATATGTTGTGTGTAACGAGTTACGATCAGAACTTCTAGGATACGTGTTTGTTGTCGAATGTGGTACTACTACTTCATTAATCTGCTGAATATTACGCATTCTTAAGTTATCTAAAAAACCAAAGTACATATACATACAAAAAACTTTGGAAGGTAGAGTGAAATACTGCATAGGTCAGAGAACACATGTCGGTAAAGTGAAGCTTTGTTTATTTAATGTAGAAACCATAAGGGATAGAAAGCATTATATATTGGCAGCTAGAAAGAGAGCTATGAAGTGGAATTAAGACTTCTTTTTCTACCCTCTTGTTCTCGAATGATCTACTTTGAAGAATGTCTGAGAGAATGATTTAGGTAGAGCAGTTTTTATGAGACGAAAGAGGAGAGAGTACAGTACTACTATAAAGATCATGGTAGTAGAATTTTCCCAATTCCCACACTTTGATTTTATTATTCGAGCTTTCGAAAGCTTCTGCTTTTATCTTCAGGAAAAAACAAAATGACATAATTATTGAGAAATAGGTTCAAAGTACATAAGAGAGAGAGCTAGAGAACAATGATGATTTGTATTCTTATTGAAACGATCAACGGACATATTTATTGCGAATAAATATGTCCGTTGACCGTTTCAATAAGAATACAAATCATCATCAATATTTTAGAAAAATTTTTAAAAATACACCGTAAAGCCAATTTAACAAAAATTAGGGTTTTCAGGCTGTTTTCGCCTAATATTAAAAAATTCACTATTCACTCAAAATACATCAGAACTTCAGAATGTAGAGTATTTAGGCTATTCTATATCCTATTTATAGGAGATCTCGAAAGAAATTGTACAAAAACCTATGTTTTCCAAAAAGGTTTCTGGAAATCTATTAACCAAAATATGCTTGTTCGACTTTTTCCATTTTATACTCACGTCTAGCGGACAACATTAATCATATCCTGAGGTTCTGAGCTTGTTCTGATGTATTCTGATTGAATAGTAAATTTTTTAATATTAGGTGAAAATAGCCTAAAAACTCTAATTTTTGTTAAATTGGCTTTACCGTGTATTTTTAAAATTTTTTCTAAAAACAAATATTGCCACGAGACTCAGCATTGTCAATTACCCATAATTCATATGTCTTCAAGACTACCGATAGTCACCGAGTGTCAGTTATGGGACTAGTAGGAAATCCATTACAACTCTCGAACCGCGGGAAATCAAGGTCGCACTTTAATTCCATTTTAAAGAGGACATCCCGAACTATCAGTCGATGCAAAAAGATCAATGCAATCCTATCGGATAATTTTTACACACGGCTTAGTTTTATAAAGAACTTTTCAAAAACCTGTTTCAGAAAAACTCTACGGAAAAGCTTTTGGTGATAAAAGCGTGCTTCAAGTCTCCTCTTTCGAATGGCGAAAACCGAAGCTCTTTCGCTCTTTTCTATCAGAAGTAATTCGAAAAACAGTCAGAGCTATTGCGTTTTGAAAACGATAATAGTTCACAATTACAATATTAAGCCTTTAAACTGTTTCATTCTTGATTGGCACACGTGACTCTCCCATAAAACTTAACAATAACACAATCATTGCACATCTATGTGAATACGAATCAAAGATGGATTGGTGAGCCAATATATTCAAGAAGAAGAATTTTCTCATTGTTTACAAGTAATTTATACTATACTCTTTATTACAGATAAAAATATGATGCTAGCGGACGAGCAATTGACCAGAGATCCAGAAGGGATCTCCAAGTGGCGTATTGCTTGGAAATGAAGCTAAATATTGATAAATGTAAAACAATGACTTTCTCAACACATACCAATAATCATCATAACAAAATTAAAATAAACGGAGTTGAATTGGAAGAAGTTCTGCATCGTAAG